AGAGCATGGTGGCTACATGTGGGTGACCTCATGTGGATGTGGAGGGTGTCAGGGGAGGTTTCCAGGAGACAGGCCTGTCTAGTCTCAGCTGGAAGAGAGGTAGGGTGAGTGAATAACTGCATCACCTAGGGGCATAGCACAGCAGATGGAACAACAAGCAGGTTAGAAAAGCTACAAACTGTGTCTGAATCATGAAGTCAAGATGAGGAACGGTAAGCCTCCAGGTGGGAGATGAAATGAGAGGCCTTATTTGTACAGGAGTTTTGACTTTATTCGAGGAGCCCTTGATGATTTTAAACAAGGAAAAATAAATAGGTATTATTTCAGAAGTTTCATCCCATGTGTAGATTGAAAAATAAATTGGAGTATTTATTCAAGCTTGGAATAGAGAGGCCAGCTAGGAGAGTGTTGGAGTCCAGGGCAGAGACTGGTGTGAACATGGCAGTGGGAGTGGAGTGACAGAACAGATCTGCAGGCCACTGGAAAGTTAGATTCCTAGCTATTAATGGAATTGGAGGCATTAAGGAGTACAGAAAGTATAAAGGCATCCTAGTGATTGAGAAAAGGGATTTCAGGGATTTGGGTTAGAATGCAGTGGTAGATGTGTACAGAACATGTTTACCTGCTCCAGGCCCTGAGCATCAAGTATGATTACGCAGCAGCAGCCACAGATTCTGAAATGCAGGCAGACAAATGTTCAAATTCTGGCTATACTATTAGAATCTATGTCCTAATTAAATACCAGTAAAAGAGACAATAGTGACCACCTAGCATGGTGCTTTTGAGGATTAACAAAACTAAGTTATTTGCACAGGGTAAATCTTCAATAAATGATAGCAATTTTGATTCCCTGCTTCTGGGTTGAATGAGAGAAAGTCCTGAATGATGGTGGAAGTTACATGTGTGTTGGCAACAAGGATGCTCAGTTTATAGAAGTTTCTAGAAATATGGGTTGTTTTTCTTATACAGTGAGAGGCTTGGAGGTGGCAAACTGTTGGCTTGGCTTTGTCCTGTGTTGCGGTCTCTGCTGTTGTCTGAGGTTGGTCATAGTATGGCTTCTTTAGTTCCAATTTCCAGTACCACATTTCAATCAGAATTGAATGGACTCAGGCTTGAGAGAGGGGATGAGCCACCAATTATTCTGAGATAAAAAGCGTAAGAGGGGAAGTGATATTGGAGAAGGAGGTTAACAAACCCAGGGAAGCATATATGTGCAGAGGTTCGTCACCATAAGCTACATCTCCAGCCCAAACATTTCACATGCGTTTTTAAACATCTAGAATAAATATATTTATACATTATATATTAACATATATATATATCTTTTGAGACAGGGTCTCATATATCTTAGGCTGACCTCAAACTTACTATGTAGCTGAGCATGACCTTGAATTTTTAACTTCTAATCCTCCTGCCTCCTTATCCAAAGTGCTGGGATTACAGTACGGTGCCACCATATCTAGTTTACAATGTGCTATTGAGCAAACCCAAGGCTTTGTGCATGGTGGGAGCACTCCACCGACTGAGGCACAGCCCCCCAATACAGTTATTATATTATTATTATATGTACATTGAGTTTTAGGTTTCTGTGATAGTTTTACACCATATAAACAAGAACCATAAGCAATACATAGGTTATCTTGGAGTTAAGGAAAGCTAACGGACACTGTATAGGACAGCTGAATTCTGCAGAATGAAAAAGAAAACCCACAAAAGGATAGAAAGTGAAGAAAAATAAAAAGATCAGACACCCCTAAATGAACATTGCCATGTGACGGGTGACTAGAAAGAGAAAACCTGCTGAAGCGGGAAGAAGTGGCTTCAGAGGCAAAAGGAAGGCTTGTCGGTCACACAGTCGAGGGGACAGGATAATTTAAGGACACTGCCAATAGTGAGAAGTGCAACCAAAGCCAGGAGGTCACAGGAGACTGTGCCCGAGCACAGGAACAGTCCGAGGAGCGAGGGGCAGGAGAGAGCAGAAAGACCAGTGCAAAGGGTCTTCTGTTTCCTTTTGATCTCACCCTCGTGTTTTGTGATGCCACTGTAATATTTTTAAAAGAAGGGTTTGAGGAATATTAACTCACCTTTCTGAAGAGCAGTCAATTTGCAGTGAGCATCTGGCCTTCCTGGCTTTCACGGCTCTCTTCTTGTGCCCAAGGATGATTTCCTTGCCCTCCTTCCTCCCCAGCTCTTTAACTGTTCACTGTGCAGGGTCCTAGGACTAAACCAGGCTGTGTCTGGATGTCACTTTTGTCTGGTGCATGTAGCACCAGCTTTCCAGGGATCTTCTTTATTTACTGTGTTTTAAAAATATTTTATTTATTATTTTTATTTTATGTGTATTTTATGTATATGTACTGCCTGAATGTATGTAAGTGCATCCATGTCATGCAATGCCCATGGAGGTCAGAAGAGGGTGCCAGATTGCCTAGAACTGGATTTACAATGGTTGTTAGCTGCCTTGTGTGTGGGAATTGAGCCCTGGTCCTCTACAAAAGCAGTCAGTGCTCTTAACAGCTAAGCCATCTCTCCAGTCCCTTATTTATTGCATTTTTATGTAGATGAGTCTTATGGAATATGAAATTACTGCAGAAAAACTAAAGTACTTAAGGAAAGCTAATGGAGACTGTAGTAGACAGCTGAATTCTGCAGAATGAACAAGAGAACCCACAAAAGGATAGAAAGTGAAGAAAAATAAAAAGATCAGACACCCCTAAATGAACATTGCCATGTGACGGGTGACTAGAAAGAGAAAACCTGCTGAAGCGGGAAGAAGTGGCTTCAGAGGCAAAAGGAAGGCTTGTCGGTCACACAGTCGAGGGGACAGGATAATTTAAGGACACTGCCAATAGTGAGAAGTGCAACCAAAGCCAGGAGGTCACAGGAGACTGTGCCCGAGCACAGGAACAGTCCGAGGAGCGAGGGGCAGGAGAGAGCAGAAAGACCAGTGCAAAGGGTCTTCTGTTTCCTTTTGATCTCACCCTCGTGTTTTGTGATGCCACTGTAATATTTTTAAAAGAAGGGTTTGAGGAATATTAACTCACCTTTCTGAAGAGCAGTCAATTTGCAGTGAGCATCTGGCCTTCCTGGCTTTCACGGCTCTCTTCTTGTGCCCAAGGATGATTTCCTTGCCCTCCTTCCTCCCCAGCTCTTTAACTGTTCACTGTGCAGGGTCCTAGGATTAAACCAGGCTGTGTCTGGATGTCACTTTTGTCTGGTGCATGTAGCACCAGCTTTCCAGGGATCTTCTTTATTTACTGTGTTTTAAAAATATTCTAAACAAGGCTGTGTCTGGATGTCACTTTTGTCTGGTACATGTAGCACCAGCTTTCCAGGGATCTTCTTTATTTATTGTGTTTTAAAAAATATTTTATTTATTATTTTTATTTTATGTGTATTGTATGTTTATGTACTGCCTGAATGTAAGTGTATCCATGTCGTGCAATGCCCATGGAGGTCAGAAGAGGGTGCGAGATTCCCTGGAACTGGAGTTACAATGGTTGTTAGCTGCCTTGTGTATGGGAATTGAGCCCTAGTCCTCTGCAAAAGCAGTCAGTGCTCTTAACAGCTGAGCCATCTCTCCAGTCCCCTGTTTATTGCGTTTTTATGTAGATGAGTCTTATGGAAACTGAAATTATTGCAGAAAAGCTAAAGTAATCCATGTCCATATATTTGGTAGGTTATACTGAGATTTAAAACATTAAAATATTTTAAATCACATGTAAAAATTCACTTTCTTATTGATCCACCTAGACTCAGGATGTGTGATGAGAAACTAAAATAAGAGACTTGTAGGTGACATTGTACAGCATCAACTGACTGCTGGATTCAGAGTTAGTTTCAAAATCAGAAGAAGAAAACGAAATATTTACTTAAACTTAAAATATCCTAGCCAGAGACAGTGGATGACTGCACTGATACACTGTTTTCCTGACACAACAGGGCAGTTGCATACATGAACTCACAGTGGCTGTGACAGCATGAACAAGACCTGTGCAAGATCAAGCCAGACAAAACCCCAGTGTGCATAGTGGAAGGGATCATGAAGTCCCACTCAGAACTGACAAGCTATGGACAACTGATGACTGCTGGAGGAGGAATCAGATTTCAGGAATGTGGCTCCGGGGAGCTCTAACAATTCGTGGTACACCCATGCATAGGCTGACAACACTAAGTGAACTCAGTGTCTTTAAAATAAGAGCACATGAAATTGGGAGGGAATCCTGGTAGTGGGAACATGGGAGGAACAGGAGGAGAGGGAATGGAGTGCATTTGATCAAGGCACATATGCATGCATGAAATTCTCAAACAATAGAAAATATTTAGAAACTTAAAAGATCCCAAAGCATGTGACAGAAGTTATTCGAATGATAATTTTTGGTGGCTGTGGTCTCTTCCTTCTTCCCTCTGCCCCCTCCTCCCCCTCTCTTCTCTCTCCCTCTCCCTCCCCCTCTCCTTTTCTAAACATATATCTTAGTTCAGAAAAGTACAGTTTCAGAATTATAGAAGTGATCCTTGAAAGTACAGTCTTTCAGAATAGGCTTTCAAAATGCTTGTGTTTTATTTCTTCTTACGGGATTAATTCTGCAGACTGCATTTAGAATATTAGTGAAACTGATTTTAGCTCATGTATTTAATTCATTAATCAGCATTCATGCAAGTATTTCTTTCAGAGCGTGGAACTATCTAGTGGTTGAGTTAGGAGAGCTCGTATTTTAGCCTGTCACTCACGGTTTGGAGGTTTAAAAAACCTCCCTGTGTCAATTTTCAGTCAGGCGTCCTGTTCCAGTGCTGGCATTGACAGGGCAAGAGCCCAGTCGTTCTCCGTCGGGTACTGGCGCACTCACCCATCAAGCCCCATTTGGGGACCTTATCTTGTGTGCAAGGCTCTGTCCTTGCGCAGAAGGTGGGCTGAGCAAATGTGACGTAAGAGAGGGCGGTATAGGTGCCTTAGGCCTGTGCCTCCTCCGGGCTCCGCCTCAGCGCACATTCTCCGCGGCTGGGCTCGCTGAACTGTAGCTGCATCCCGCGTCCCAGCCCCGCGCCAGGCGAGCGTAGGGCGCATCCTCCCTGGCACCCCAGCTGCTCATCTGAAAGGAGAAAATGGGCACCGGGGATTTTATCTGCATTTCCATGACTGGAGGGGCGCCCTGGGGGTTCAGACTGCAAGGGGGCAAGGAGCAGAAGCAGCCCTTGCAAGTTGCAAAGGTAGGAACGAGAAAGAGTCGGTCTGGCTGCTCTGTGCTGGGAAGAGAGAAAACAACCTGTTGACGGTTTTTCGAGCTTGGTTTTGCAAGGCTGTGCATCACTGGCTTGGTTTTCGTGCTGTCTGTCGGTGGCTTTAGGATGTGGGCTTTTTTTTTTAAGTATTTTATGGAGAAATGGATATCATATGTCATTGAATTAGTCAACAATTATGGGGGGGTTGTCATCTTCATCAGGCGAAGAAACGGGTTGGTTAATCTCACGGCCTGCATTAGACTTACCCTGTTTGTGTTCTTGGTTCCTGTCTCTTTGCTTGGGTCTAGCAGGCGAGCAGAACCACCGGCCTCGGACATTTTGGTGACATTTTGTGCCATTTATTGTTGCAACATGCATAAAAAAGCCAGGTTAGGACAATACTCTTTAATGATGAAATGTCATGAGATCTGTTTAAAACAATAGCCTTTTAAGAATGTAAATAAGTGTAAAAACCCAAGTACTGTGTTCCATTAACTGTATTCATCTGGTTAAGAACTCAAAATAGATTCACAGATACTTTAAATATGCAGTAACTACAACTAACTTTCTGGTGCACCCAATAACTACTTAAATTGTTCTTTGATTTTTGTTGCTGTTGAATTACTTGCTTCTTAGCTTAGCACATGACTGGACTAGTGTGCTCCAGGAAACTCTATGTTCTAATTGGCATTCGGCTAAAATAAGATTTAAACGCATGAAAGTCAAAACTTTGAATCTAATTTTAACTCTGAATTCTAAAATTATATGAACGTGTGTGAAGGCCTTGTAAGAGGTTGATTTTTGTTGCAGACGTCTATTCAAAGCGCATCTAGACCTTTCTGAAGCATATGGGTCCGTGCTTTGTGGCTGTGCTTTCCCCATGTCTTTTACTTTTTAAGAAATGTTTCATGCCAAGAAAGGAGTTTCTTTGCAATTTTCTGCACCCAGGCGTCCATCAGACCCTTTCAGAATGTGGTGGTTGAATCCTGCCACCTAGTGAGAAGACCGGGGAGCACAGACCAGATAAAAGCAGAGATCTCCACTGTAAAGTTCTTCGAGGCCCCAACGCAACTCTTGGCTTTTAGATGAGGAAAAAGCTCGAGGCTGAGTCCTCATCTCAAGGCTCCTGTTTGGCAGAAGTGATGAAATTACCCAAAGCCTCCTTTGCTGGGTGTCTTTAGGAGTCGGTAGCCAGCAGCATCAGATGAAATGTGGATGCCTAATTCAGCATATTACAGTTCAGTAGACTGAAGCAGATCTGTCCCCAGTCTGGAATAGCCAGCTTGGTTGGCTGGCTCCAGCAGCTGAGATTTGGGGTCTTTTTGCAACTCTGGTCTAACTTGCAGCCTGGTCTTAGGCAAAACCCTCACTGGCCCTGTCTCTGCTGCTGTAGAAGGAGGATTTTGAGTGGATAGGAAAATAAGGAATTAAGGAAGGAATTGGACCTATATAGTTCAAGAGCTTCTAGCTTGCCAAGCTGTTCTCTAACCTTAACTATAGGATTTAGAATCCTTCACGTAGGAATTCAGATGTGGGAACACAGCTGGCGGAAAGCTGCTATTCTCGAATGCAGAACAGTGGATACTGGCCTTCTCCTGAGTTCTGTAAACTACTGACTTTACTTTGCCTTGACTCTTTGAGGCAAATTGATAGGAAGGGTTCTGAGATCCTTTTCTGCCAGCCTCCTAATTGTCAGACTCCAGAGAGGCTGCTAAGCTGTGTGAGGGTCAGACACTGTGCTCCTGCACTCCTCCTAAACCGTCTTTCCTAAAATACCCGGGCAATACAGGCTTTTAAACGACTGTTAGTAAATCATCCAGGTGTTCCCTTTAATTTTCTAATTTGTTAAGGACTGGACATGTGCTCAGTGATGAAGCTTGTGTGAGGCCCGAGGTCAGTCTCTAGCACTCTTCCACCGCAAATATAAATTTCTAGTTTATGATGTATAGAGTTCACAGAGGTAGGTTTAAAAACGTTATAAAAGCTTTGAATGTGTGTTTCATGTATGGGGAGGACACCCTAGCCTACAGTCTACCTTTTCCTCGTGTGTTAAAGAAACTATATGTTTTTAAACTACATGGTTATATGATGCTGTAGTTTCAACAACCATGACTATGTCTTTCCTGAGTCGATGTTTATCCTCAGTGCAAAGTTATTATATTTTAATTTTTATATTAGCATTGTTTGTTTTAGAATGTTCCTTAGCTCTTTTAGTCACTAAGTCAACTCAATACATGAAATTCCAGTAATGGTTTCTCACTGAGTTCAAGGTGAGGTGAATGTCAGCTGGGGTGTAGACTTTCTAACTCATTATGACTGAGTGACCTCTTAGAAGGGGGTATAAGGGAAGCAGCAGGAAAACTAAGTAGAGGGTGACTGTTGGCAAATGAACTCTTCAGTGGTAAAGAAAATTCACATGAGGCCAAGGGTGACCACACAGGCCTGTAATCTCAGCATTTGGGAGGTGGAGGTAGGAATATCAGCAGTTCAAAGTCATCATCAGCTGCATAGTGAGTTCAGGGCCAGCCTAGCTACATAAAATTCTGTCTCTCTAAAATTAAACTAATGAAGAAAAATTCAAGTTATTAATTTTAGAGCTAAAATATAAAAACTTTTGAAAAACAGAAAATTTAATTTCAGCAAGTACTTGTCCAATGGTACTTGGCTTATAATAAAATCTTTAAATGTATAAAATTTCCATAATTCTATACAAAAACTCTTAACAGTCTGAAATAGCACAATAAAAATTAGTGTAGTATTATTAAGATCAGTAATTGCTTTGATTCCCATAATAGTGATACGTTTTGTTACTTATAAGAGATGTTCAAATAGTTTTAGCAGTTGCTTGACTGACTAAACTGTATACATACCCTACATTTGAAAGATTAATAACAGAAATATTAGTGAAAATTTTCATTGACATTAAAGTTCGGTGCCATATAAATTTGTTTTATTTTAGGTATTATTAGCTGAAATATTTAAAGTCCAAATAATAAATAACACATACATTCGATATGTATGTAATGAGAAACAAACATTTCTAATACTAAATCATAAAATAATCCTCTGAAAAGTATATTCTTAAATAACCTCAGAATCAAGTTTATTAGACTGAAAGCCCCATTGTGTGTGTGTGTGTGTGTGTGTGTGTGTGTGTGTGCGCACATTTCCTCCAAGAATGATGCTAGCATTTCTAACTTTATAAAACTTTCTCTGGGGACATGTGCTTGCATGGCCTTGTCTCTTGGCAAATCGCTTGGCAAAATCTTCATATAAAGACTTGGGGTGAAGTTTTTGTTTTATAAACAAATGTGATTAAAAAAATAACTCACATTTTGAAAATAATTAGAAAATAATTGTTCAGACATAATAATAGATTAAGGTGGTCCCTACAAAAGTTGTTAAAAAAATTCTCATGGCCTATGTCCAGCCCTGATTTAGGGGGTCTAAGATTTGCCTTGGTCATCGAATTTCTCAGCATTCCGAACAGAATTCTGATGTGTAAGAAATCTAAGTCATTGGGGAGTCCACACAGAGTTGACTGGGCATGGTATAGCCTGTGAGGACACCCCCACTTCTGCTTTCTCAGTGTAATTAAGAAGAGGATAGGGAGAGCAGAAGGAAGTGCTCTCTGAGTGGTCACACTGTGTGCAGGTCAGTGTTGGTAGTGGAGGATTGCCCTTCTGATGCCATGAAAGATGGACTAGGGGATCAAGAAGAGGCGATGGGAAGCTCCAAGGACCACTCAGAACATCAGAGTGCCAGTGAGAAGACACTGGACATTTCTTCCCATGGTTTGTCTTTGTCAATGGTCTTGCTGGCCTGCCTGCTGCGTTTCTGAATGGGAGTGGGTAGTAGTGATGAGAGGCGGGAGGGGGGAGGGTGTAAAACTAGAGAAATATGTGCGGGAGGGAGGAAAGAGAGGGAGAAGGAAGATGCGAGAGAGGACTTTTATTAAAAACAATCATTATCTCAGTTTAATACTCAATAAGCACTCGGGATTTATTAAATTGCAAATTCTACAATCTGACAATAGCATCCAAGAAAGAGCTCTCTAGATGAGCTGCAAGCCACCCTCTGCCTGACAACAAAGCATGTCCTGGGGTGCTGAAGCACTGAGTCACATTGAAAACACAAGAAGGAACGGAAAGAGTAGCTGGTATTTCTTCTTAAACCCAAAGTCGGATTTTCATTAATTCTTCCCAGAAATGATAGCTCCTTGCGAGTTGTTGGTAAGTTTCCAGGGCCAAGCTACATAATTCCATGTAACTGACAATCTGAACCTATGTGGTATAACTGATTTATTCTGAAGTGTCTACTAATTTCATATTGAATAGGAAACGGTTTTATTTCTTCCTGTAAATGCTTCCAACCATGATAAGGACAAACCCCATCATTGATAATCCTGGTAGTTTTGGTTATTAAATCAGTCCACTCTGAATAAAGATGTATTCTAATATCTTACTAAATTCTTCTCATAAGGCCAGGCTTGTGGCTCTAAGGCTTCTCTTGGGAGGGGATGTTCCCTGCCCCATACAACCTCCTCTCCCCTGTGCTCCAAGGTTAGAACCAAATTGGATGACACTCTCCTCTCCATTAGTTGTTGTGCTCCTCTGGTTAAAGCTGTGGGGACATTGATGTCCTCTCTGTGGTCTGGCCATGTCCAAATGCTGAGAGTTGTGGGGGTTTCCCTAGTTGCTCTGCAGTCACTAGGGCACAGTTCCTTAATGTGGGGAGTCAGCTTCATGCCTACTGTCTTCCCTACCTTCCCCATGCCATGGCTCAAGATGCAAGTTTACTTCTACCAGCCTCTGGCTGAGATTGACCTTTCTGAATAGAGTACTGGCAAGATGCATAGATCTAGTATGATGGTTTTCATCCAAGAGCTTTGCCTTGCTGAGTGGACGAATCAGTGCACAATGTCATTGTGACATACATACCATACCTAACTGGATAGTATTTGTCATGAAATGGTTTTAAAGGATAGA